GTGCTCTCAGAGGGATTTTCCAGCCTGAAGTTTTCTGGTATTCCATGATTTGGGAATGCAGGGATTGTCCTCCCTTATCCATCCCTGTGGAAGTGGTGGATCCATGAGGAGCAGGCAGGGAATGTGGTGTTCCCGAGGGAGACCTGGGTGACACCAGGGCCCAGCTCTGCCTTCACCATCCCCCTCTCCCACTTCCAGAGCCTTCCTTCCACCTCCATCTCATTCCTGAAGCATTCCAGCAACTTCAGGGCTTTGATGTCTCCCTTATTTCCAACTGCTCCCTTTCCCAATGGATTCAAGATCTCCCAGAGTGGGGACCCATGGACAAAGCCACCCTGGACAGAACAATTCCAAAAACTGGAAAGTCGCCTGAAAATTCTGTGATTCTGTGAAAATGTACCTTAGCATTCCATGAATCCCCTCGTGGCTGCAAATCCTGGATTTACAGAATCTCAGGAGCTGGGAAATCCCTCCAGGATCATTGAGCCCGAGCTGTGACTGATTCCCCACCTTGTCCCCAGCCCAGAGCACTGAGTGCCACATCCAGGAATTCCCTGGACACCTCCAGGGATGGGGACTCCACCACCATCCAAGCATCATGCCCTGAGTATCCAGAGGCTCGTGGAGAACTGGTCCCAGCTCAGATTCCATCCCAATGGAGTCACCTCCAGCATTCCCAGTCAATCCCATTGGGCTGGGATTACAACTGGTTCCAGCAGCTTTGTGTCAATGAATGTCGGGATTCAGTCCCTGGGATTGTTCCCATCCAGGGGCAAATCCCAGGAGCCCACAAAGACACCCAAGGAAAGATACGGATCCCTAAATGAAAATAAAACCGGAATTCCCTTGGAAGAACTGGAAATGTTGTACATGTCACTGTGGAATTCAGGAATTCCCAGCAGGAATCACCTGGTGTGGGATTCCCTTTATCCCAGGGAGCGACTGAGATCCCAACGGCTGCTCTGGGGCCACCTCAGTCCTGGGAGCACCACGTGCTCCATGAACACCTGAGATTCCACCTGGACATAAATCCCACCAGTGAGGCCTGACCAGGAGCCAGACCCTCCATCCCCTCTGGATCAGGATGGAATGTTATCTCCAAGTGCTTCAATCCTGGAAGTCCAGCTCTCTCCAGGTATGGTGGAGCACCAGGAGCTCCTGGAGGCTACCTGGATCCCATCCTCACCTGGAGAGGTGCCAATGGGTCCACCAGTAGGCCCTGACCCCCATTTAGACCTTTGATCCCGTTGGGATCACAATGGAATGACCCTTTCTGTCCAAGAGCTACAATCCTGGAATTTCAGCTCTGTCCTGGAGCTGCTGGTGGCTCACCTGGATGGGGTATTCCATCGATCCACCAGTGAGCCCTGACCCTCATCCAGACCTTTGGGATGAGGATGGAATGGCACATCCTGTCCATGTGCTGCAATCCTGGAAGTTCAACTCTCTCCAGGCGTGGTGGAGCACCAGGACCTGATGGAGACAATCTGGATTCCACCCTCACCTGGAGCTGTTCCATGGATCCACCAATGAGCCCTGACCCCCGCCCAGACCTTTCATCTCCTCGAGATCTGCATGAAACGACACTTCCTGTCCAAGTGCTACCATCCTGGAAGTTCAGCTCTGTCCTGGAGCACCAGGACCTGTTGGAGGCCACCTGGATCCCACCCTCAGCTGTGCCAATGGGTCCACCAGTGAGCCCTGACCCCCATCCAGACCTTTCATCCCTTTGGGATCAGGATGGAATGACACTTCCTGTCCATGAGCTGCAATCCTGGAAGTCCAGCTCTGTCTTGGAGCACCAGGACCTGCTGGAGGCCACCTGAATCCCAACCTCACCTGGAGCTGTTCCATGGATCCTCCAAGGGCTGGAGATGCCCTTTGGAGCAGCGCTGTGGTGACGCCGCCCTTTCCCAACAATCCAAGCCT